TGCTTTCTCTTGTTCTTAACTCGACTGTGTCTAATTCGATTATCTATTCAGGCTTTTAGGTGAGAGATTGGATAAACAAGGGTCTGGCTGACGACCTACCTACTTGTCTCCATCAAGGTCCTTTCCCTTGTTTTCGGGCCCACTGATATGTCACTAAGGGGTTATTAAACACCTCTGTCATCCTGCATTATTGGAAATTCATGACTTTCTTTAAATTTAAATTTCAGCCAGACGAAACTTTTATAACAACTTAATATGAAGTCACATTAATTAATGTATAATCTATATTCAGTAGCCAAATAGTGATATTTTACGTACCTATTGGGATCCGTCAAATGGGCATACACCATCTGGTGGCAAAATTTATAACTCGAATGAGGGAAAAATTTACATAGGAACTGTGCACGCAAATTGTAAAATTGTTTATTAAAATAATAAAACACGTTAAAAAAGTAAAAATTTTTTTGATGATGGAGTCGACGAAGTTTTCTTCTAAAGTTAAATCAAATAAAAAGTTAATATGTTCAGTGAAAAGCTGCAATAGCACTTCAGACATAGATCTTCACTCTTCACCTACATTAACTACTTTCCAATAAAAACTAACCGTTTTATATATGTAAAAAATATATTCGGAAAATTAGAGAAAAAAGTAAACTAATAGAAGCTTGGATGAAAGCAGTAGGTATCAAAGAAGTGAATTCCGGAATAAAAATTTGTTCACGTCATTTTAATGCACATGATTATATTTCAGCAAGTATTTACCATCAGCCATAACCTTAATATTTAAAACTAGAATCATACTAAAATTATAAAGTGAGAAATTATTTATTCCTGTGTAATTGATTTAACACAATTCTAATGATACGATATAAGTATTTTGAGGTTAAGAACCTACCTGCTGCAATACAACAAAGTTGCAATAATGTGTTTGCAACGTTCTCTTAAATCGGCTTTGCACGTGCAAGTCATTGATATGATATTGCTTAAATCACCCAGAATCACCTCACCAATTATATAACGTGAATCACTTTTTAAATCCGAAGTTTGTAAAAAGTAGGCAGTAAACTTGACGGAATTTGAAGGCTAGCTTCCGGATTTGTTATTTCCGAATTTTATAATGTGATTGGCATTAAAAACACGCTCACCTTCAACGAAATTTCCTTTCCGAGGCTTTGTGTCAGCCCAATCACATATTGTGTCAATACTTATCATTTTATCGTAATTTAAAAACTTGGAAATTGCACGGTACACTATAGGAACTACGATAAATTTTCCCTAATCGGCGCCATGTTTTTAGGCCCCTCCCATTTGACGGATCCCAATATTCTGTTAATTTAAGTATGATAACATGATAAGTATAACAATATTTAAGTAGAACGAAACCGCGTAGGGACGTTATGAAGATATGGTGTCGCAAGGGTTGGCGCTGTTGTACATTCGGGAAAAATTTTGAGGCGAACATTGTAATTAGGTAACAATTGCAATTTCTGATAGCGAAAGGTTAAATAAACTTATGCATTCTATTAATAAAAAAGGTAATGTCTACTCAATTATTGTATAGGTACATATATGTAAAGTGACTCCTGATTTTTTTTCAGTCTAATTTTATCAATTTAATGCTATAGATACGTTCGGCATGTTTAACTTTTATTAAAGATCGAAACTGACTCAGATGGCCCTAAACAATAGCTACAGGTAATAAAATAAATTGAGCGGCAGGCAAATTTTTCACAGTCGAAACAGTTTTTTATTGCAGTACGATATACAAATGGCAAACAATAAACTAGTGCCATATTTAACCCGCGGCAGATAACGGAGCATGGCCGCCGTATTGAGTCGAAAATTATTTCTATGCAGATATCGGCGTACAGATTGCATTTCATTCATATTAACGGAATTGCCAATAATAATCACCGATAAGGCACGAATTACGACTCGCTCAAACCGCCGTTTTATTTCTGGAACGTTGCCAATACCGACGTCGGCGTCGGTCGCGTCGCGTCGCCAGAAGAAAATTTAGATGCGGACGCGCTCGACCGACTTGTTTATCGGAATTTTCATAAATGCAAAACGTCATTATCTTTAAATAAATTAACGGAAATAAAGCATTTATCATTAAAAAACGATTAGAAAGAGGAAGAATTACAGCTTCCTTTTAGAGAATGTACGATTTTGAGAAATTCCCTAAAATAATCGTGCCTAACTGATTAAACATTTCTTAATTAACAGAAGTTCGAATACAGATAACTTCCGAACAAATAACTCATTGGATTTTCACCGTATCTCACATCAAATGATACCAAAAAAAAGGTCAAAACAATGCTCTATTTCATGTTTAATTGATAACTAATTGAATGTAAACAATAAGACGTTAGCGAAGAGACTCAAAGATTGAAACCTAACTATACTTCGTTTACTTTCTGTAGCGATGTGACCTTCAGTTTGACCGGCGCAAAGTAGAAAAGAACAGCACTAGGCCTGAAAAGGAAGGAGACAACTCTCGGCCAAACTCTTAACCGGTGAGGAGCGTATAATCCGTACAGTACTGCACGTAAAAATTGACCATTTTATCTACTACAATTGCATTGCTCAAATGTGCTGTTGTTGGTATCATTTACTACTGAAAATATCAACGAGATGTTTATTTATATTTGAAGACATATTAAAGGCTTTAACGCCTTTTTTGGTCTCTCACTACTATTCATGATTGAACAAAACTTTTGGCAGGTACTGTATGAAAAAGTATGTTTAATGAACAAGAGTCAAGGGTATAATGAACTTTTTCCTCCCTACCCACCCATTCGAAGGCGCACATCGCTAGAGAAAGTAAATGAAGTATACTTACGCAAACTGTTGTGAAAATGATGGAAAATTGAAGAAGTGAATCCACCACCCCCAACAGTTTATGACCAAGGAGCTCAAAATTAGTCAGCTAATAACAAAAGCAATCATATCAAGGAAACACTTGACGAAAGAAAGGAAGCAAAGCAAAAGTTCAAAAATTGCCAGGCGGTTCCTTCATTTTCCAAATGAAAAAAACATTGGGTATTATTTAATGAAATGTTTGGAATTTATTTTGTTCTAACTACGTTTACTGAATGATTTCTCTTTATTATCAGAGAACGCCCACCGCATCATTAATTTTAAGTTTTAAGTGAATTTTTTAAACTTCATAAAAAGCTAGTGAGTCTGCCAGTGATAGATTGCCAAATAAAACTATTTTATTTTCCTCTCTCGCTGTAATGACCCTTATAGTTTTGTTTTTTATTCACCAATCCGCATTTTGTTGTTCTCCGGAACTGAACGATACATTAAACTACTTCTTTTGAGCATCTGATAAAACTTTATACGGTAATAAAAGTTCAAGTCATTTGATTAAGACATTACATTTGACCGGAGAGTAGATTGAAAAGCTTACAGTACAAACTACAAAATAAAAGGAAATTTATCTAAAGGTTAACTGTAAGTCACAGTGAAATATTTTTTTATAGCTTTTCCTAGTACGTATTATAAGATCATTCGATAAATAATAAATTGCTTTTTCATGAATCCACTCATGATAGTATGAATAACTCTGATTTTTAATTAAGTTATTTCTGTAAGCGTATTTCATCAACATAAGGTCGTCAGTCTGGTTGGACACGTACCTACCTCCACTCTTTCCTATCCTGGGCTAAACTTCGCATTTCCCTAAAACTAGAACAGCCCACGCCCTTAACTATTTGCGAACAGTAATCTAATCTAGGTCTACCTCTACCCCTCCTAACTCCTGCTTCTGCCTCTAATATGTCTCTGACTAAACCTTCATGCCTAAGAAGGTGTCCTACCAACCTATCTCGCCTATTTGTTATTGACTTCCATAGAGTCCACTGTTCTCCTATTCTTTCCAATACCATTTCATATCTAACCTTTTCTTCCCACGATATCCTCATCATCCGCCTATAACACCCCATTTCGAACAATTCTAACTTTTTCTTTTCGGCCGCTCCCACTGTCCACGTTTCGCACCCGTACTCCAAACATACGTCTTTAACAACCATTTTCGAATTTCTAAATTAACCGTTCGCGAGCATAGAAGTAAACGTATTTAGTAAGTAAAAAAATTGGAAGCCAAACCGTTAAACATTGGTTGAGGTGACGAATATAGAATATTTTGTTCGATGTGCGTAAGTTTTATTTTAGTACTAATACATAGCCAATTTATGAAGATAACAAACTTACTTTTTTCACAAAAACAGTTCGAAAAAGTTTATTTCTTGTTGCCGTAAGTTTTACATCCATTTCGATCTATAAAATCGTATGTGTACCGTCTTCTAGAGTCCACACGTTTAGTCCTTCGCTGGTCTTTGTCTGTTTATTGTTTTGCGATTCTGAAATCAAAGCGAAACTTCTGCTTCTTGTGGCGAGAGAAAATCCACCCTTCCGGTGGTTCTATGTCATCCTGGGCCCTTTTATGAGCGGTTTAAGCCGAACTAGCGGCTGCAAAAGCTGCTGCCTTTTTGATCTTGCCCCACTCACCATTCTCAGCAACTCTGATCCTGGTATTAATATGTAACAGGCCTCGTGGTCAACCACAAGCAGCTCTGTCAAATGGCAGAACATAAAAGCCTATAAAGGGACCATCGCCAACGGTAGCGGTTGCAACCCTCCTTGGAATGGATTAATTAGAATTCACCTGTGACCTCTAGTTCTCGTTACCGTCGAACCCTTTTCTCACGCAGTCTAATTACGCATCGGCTACCGATTTGAATAATATAGATCGAAATTAATCGATTTTATTGAATTGTCATTAACGGTCCGACCAATAAATGACCAGTAATTTGAGTATAAAGTAACCAGTTGTTAATTATATGAATATTTAATATTATAATGCCAAATTCGCATGGAAAGAGTGAGAATTTATTATTTTTTTCTCGTTTTGAGTAATTAGCACATATTTATTTTAAGCAAATTTTGCGGTTACAATACATATTAAAAACTACATTTTTAATATTTTTCAGATAAAATGGAGTAGCAATATAAGAAAGATAAATTCAGATATTTACCAATCCTGGATTACCTACCTACTCATGCCAGAGTCCACAGGGAAAGCTTTTCTAGTAAGTTAATAAATAACAATTTTATATTATAGTAAATTTAAGGCTGTAATTTTGATAATTGAACAATAGCATGGTGTACATATTGGTGTATATTTATTTATTTCGAAATTTATTTATTTCCCCTCTCTATGTAGCTAACATAGTTCGATTTTCATTACTGGTATGACTTCTACACCTTTAAGTAAAAAATTGTTTTACCATCAGTGTAAACAATTTAAAAGGTGAACGGTTGAGACTTGATGTTCTTTTGCCTTCTGCAAACTTTTCCGCGGTATTTTCTTGAAATTCCATTGGGTAACGATTATGCAGATTAAGATTTACACCATCTCTCAATTATGAGCGCTTCAGAAGATAATGAAAACGGATTTCACTTTAAGAAATTCAAACTTTGTGTTATTTCGTTAAATGTCGGAGTAAATCTCTTCATTTCCTTTAAAAGGAAACGAAATTAACATATCTATCTCCCTTTTTCCTTAACAGGAAAAGGAATTAACTTTTTCCCTTATTCGTTAATTTAATTTAAATTTTTGGAAATGCAGTCAATTTATCTTCTCGAATTTTATGACATATAAATGTAGGCACGTTATATAAACATATAAAGTTGAACTTAACTAACGCTATCAAATATTTTATTTGAAAATGCATTTCGGTCAGCTTCTATACGTAACTTTATTATGGTGCGTCTTTATTTAAAGTTGTTTCTCTAAACTAATGTTTAATAACACGAAATGATCTTTGAATTTGTTAGAAATGTAACAACGTAAGTGACCTGTGCTTCATCTAGTACTCGGCCTAACGAGAGTATTGTGAATGGTCTTACTGCATATGGGTGAGTTGTTGTCCGGGCTGATGGGCCGTGGTCTGTTGGGTTGTTTTCCCGACGTTTCATCTACAATTGTTGTGGACATTTTCAACAAGTGCTGTTGTCGTCGTTTCGCAACAGAGAAGACTTCGACATCGCCCCTGAAAATGTCCACCACAGTTGGGGATGAAACGTCGGGGAAACAACTCAACAGACTACGGCCTATCAGCCCGGCCAACAACCCACTTATATCCGACGCCGGTCGTGAAAGTCTATAATTAACATCGGTCTTATTGCGGTTTGATTTTTTTAACTATAAAGAAGAAATTGTCGCTTTAGAAAGCGACCAACGCACCTTGGGATTATCCATTGACCATTGCTAAATATTAAATCACTGAAGTAATATCTTTGGCTCGGTAGTTTGAACGTTGACGTTAGATGGCGACGTGTTTTTCATTTTATTAGGACGATGTGTCACGGTAGTGAGCGTAACAATTTAGAAGGTGATGTAACGAGTTTGGGTGAACGACAAGTTCTATAATCTTGTATCGTGCACGTCCCATTTCAAGACAAAGTAATTCCTGGCAGCTTTTGTTGAATGCAACCTTAATCCTATCCCCGCTGAAATCTCAAATCCTAAGTTACGTCGCCCGATGTGCTACAGGCGTCATTGTACGTCGTCTTGTTTATTTGCGTTGATTTATGGGTCGTACTGGCTCCGACTCGGATTGCAAACGTGCCTCAACAATGGTATACTAGCACCAGAAAGCCTGTTCTGACATTATGAACCGCAGTTTCATCATTCTGCACTTACACCGACATTTTCGCATGCATCGCTTCAGACTTCTGATCTCTGCCACACAACTGCCGGTGGTTGGTTCGAAACGTTGACTGAATCATCAACCATTCACATAACGGTTCGACAGATATCTACCAAAGGCTTAATCAATAGTCTACATACATACACAAAGGCTTGCTCCATATCTATACATCCAACACATCCAGTTCATTTATTGTCCTCCTCACTATTTTAAAAACAGACATGTGAAATAGTTCATCTCGGTTTCCTCTCTACTATTTTTGTAGATTCTCCCCTTTTGTAAAATTTTCGTGACATTTCTCTACCGAATAAGTCAAAGTGACTGTATTTTGAAACAGTATACGGAGCGGAGGCTTAAGTTTTTTATCACTCGAGGCTCAGCAGTTTCAAATCCGGAATTAAGAACGTTATATTATTGTTTTAATGAAAGCTTTGCAAAAGCGGGTTAAGCTTTTGATCTCGTACCAAAAAGAGATTAATTCACGGAACAGTTAAGCTGCAAAGAAAACTCTAACGCGAATACCAGCAGCATCTGAAACTTTGAAAACTTTATAGGTAGCTTGTTGTTTTGTTTATATTGCGGTGGTAAATAAAATTATGAACCCGCCAGTACGAATAATTTATTTGGAATTAAAGAACTGAAACGACTAATGGGTAGGTACTTAATTTAATTACTTATCTACAGTTCGTAACTTCTTTATTATCAAGAACATTCACCGTTTACAGTATGTAACTATACAGTTTTGTGAGAATTAGAATAGTCCAAATAATAGTTGAATTTAGAAAATACCACAAATGGCGCGATAAACGCCATCTGTAGTACGATGGTACATTTTAGGATTACGTATGCTCCAACAAGGTCTACTTGTGTGGATATCTGCTTGCAGAAACGAATCCCGGCGTAGCTAACCTCAACGTGATAGGTATGTTACCATAATCGAATACAATAATTCGAAATGGTCTGTATTCTGTCGAAACTGCCAGACCCGGATCGCGATTTCGATCTTTTTGGATCTCATCAGCGCGTAGCAGACAGCTCCCACAGAACATAGACCAACTTTTACCTGCTGTCCTAACAGTGCGTTTTAGAAATATAGACCACTTCGAATTATTTTATTCGATTATGGTGACGTGCCTATCACGTTGAGGTTAGCTACGCCGGGATTCGTTTCTGCAAGTAGATATCCACACAAGTGGACCTTGTTGGAGCATACGTAATCCTAAAATGTACCATCGTACTACAGATGGCGTTTATCGCGCCATTTGTGGTATTTTCTAAAACGCACTGTTAAGACAGCAGGTAAAAGTTGGTCTGTGTTTTGTCGGAGCTGTCTGCGACGCGCTGATGAGATCCAAAAAGATCGAAATCGCGATCCGCGTCTGGCAGTTTCGACAGAATACATACCACTTAGAATTATTTTAATAGTTGAATTGTTTCGACAATTAATTTCTGTACGTAAAAAGGTGTAACCTAATCGAGTCAACAAGATAAAGAAAATCGCATCTTGGTTAGGTCCGAACATTTTTCTGTTTCACGTCCGACTGCAAAAAGTAGTCGAGGGTTAAAGTTCCGCCAGCAATTTCGATCTGGTATGTGGGTTGTCGAGAGTGGCAGGGTCTCGAGTGGCGTTGTCGTCGTTGCCGCATTATGACCCTGCAACGCCCTGATAACTGGTGATTGGCGTCGGAATGGACGTCCAGATACCACTACAGGCAACCCGATTGTTCGACGTATCGCTCCAGAATTCCGAACGAGCGCTGCTTTCTTTCTGTCAACTGAGGGTTTTAGAGGGCAACGAATGTCCACTTGATTTATCGGAGACTTTGCAGTCGAGAATTTCTTACTTACATTTAAAACTTGTTAGAATTCTTATAGTAGACAGGTAAAACATTAAAAGAATATAGTTTATACTAGAAGAACAAATTTGTTCTATGTTTTTAAGTTTAAAGGTATAATGTCTAAAAAGAGGCAGTGTATCATAATCATATTAAATAAATATGCTCTTTTGGACGTTGTTCGGTTTGGCCTTTATATTACTATTTTAATAAAGTTACTATAGCACTGCAACCACACTAAATCCTTATTATGTACTAATATTCCATTTTGCCATCCTGTAGATTAAGGGCGTTGTTTATTTTTTTAAGAGGAAAGTGGTGGAGAAATAATAAATATTAAAGTGGTAAAATTAACGTGCGTTTTTCATAACAGAAGTAGTTCATTCATCTTGTGTAGCGGCGCATTAGGAGTCGGATTCTGCTACATGGGAGAGTAAATATTTATCCTCCCGTCTGTTCTCCTCTCCTTCAAGCACTTAACGATCAGACAGCGATTTGTTATGCTCTTACGTACATATATTTATTGCCTTGGTAAAAAAATATTTTTTTTTGAGAAAAATCAATCATTTTCCATTATAACAATGACATTATGCAAATAAGCCGTAGGTATATTTTTCTCCAAATATATTTCATTAAAAATGTCTCAACATCAGTATGTAACATAAATATATTATTTTGTAGACTTGTATCGAAACACACTTAATTTCTGTAGTCACAAATCATTACCTTTTCGTATTTATCACGTCTTCGTATGACTTTAAGGTTCTTCTTTGCAAAAGTCTAAAATGGTTCTGCTGAACCATTGACGTATGTAAATTGGTTTGTTTGAAGCGCAAATGATGTAAAATTTGAATAATTTCATATTTACTCTGACTATAGAAGAAACGTTTTGTATGGAATTTCGGGTTTTCGTGTTTTATTTAGCCTAGTTCCAAAGAGCTTCTTTAAATTTTCTTGTATGATCAAGAAATTAAAATTTAAATCAAAATTGCATTAGTTTTGGTTAAAATGAGCAATTTAGGCAAATATTAACTTTCTCCCTTTGTTGGTGTAGGTAACACATCTGTTGTGCAAAGTTTGTTTTCGAACACTTTCAGTGCTTTCTCTTGTTCTTAACTCGACTGTGTCTAATTCGATTATCTATTCAGGCTTTTAGGTGAGAGATTGGATAAACAAGGGTCTGGCTGACGACCTACCTACTTGTCTCCNGCGGCGGAAAAGAAAAGGTTAGAAGCGTTCGAAATGTGGTGTTATAGGCGGATGATGAGGATATCGTGGGTAGAAAAGGTTAGAAATGAAGAGGTATTGGAAAGAATAGGAGAACAGAGGACTCTATGGAAGTCAAAAAAAAATAGGCGAAATAGGTTGGTAGGACACCTTCTCAGGCATGAAGATCTAATCAGAAACATATTAAAGGCAGAAACAGGAGTTAGGAGGGGTAGAGGTAGATCTAGATTAGATTAATGTTTGCAAATAGTTAAGCATGTGGGCTGTTTTAGTTTTAGGAAAATGCGAAGATTAGCTCAGGATAGGAAAGAGTGG